TTTTTTTTTTTAAGATTTTACTTATTTATTTGACAGAGAGAGAACACGCATTCAGTTGCCAGATGAGCTGAACAAATAAACACAAAACAAAATAAGTACCATGTTAAGTAACACTATCAATCAACAAATTATAATGCACCTTTGTTTCAAAGTTGTGGTATCTAGTAATTTAATTATTTCCACAGCATTAAAATAAAGGCAGCCATAAATAGGGTGTTTTCATTAAGTTTAATTAGTGTCCCTAGAAGGTGGATGATAAAGGTTATAAGGATAGAGGCATGGCTTCTAAGGGATGGTGCTTTATGAGGAAAAGTTCCCACAAGTGAAGATTAACAGTATAATGTAGTATAAGATATTATTAAGAACTCATTTTTTTCTTACCTCCTTATGTCCCATTAAATCTTGTTTGCTTTTCAAAGGAGGAAGAAGAGGGAAGAGACACTGGAGAAGACACTGTTGTGAATCCCGGTAGAGAGAGTGCCACAAACCAAATAAGGAGAAAGGAACCCCAGATTCCTACTACAACAAACTACAATCACGCAGGGACTAAATACAATGAGGCCAAGACTAACCGATCCCCAACAAGAGGAAGTGAATTCTCTGGGAAGGGTGATATTCCCAACACATCTTTAGATTCCACTTCCCAACCAGTCACTGAATTAGCCCCCCAAAAAGATGTTGCTTTGATTTCGCGGACTGTGACTAAAATGCCACCTCACACTCTGGAAGGCACGGCCGCCTCTTGGAATGACAGCTCTAAAACTATTCTCACATTTCCACAGATGAACTTGACCGGGACCGTGGAATCTTTAAATACAGTTTCTATAACGGAATCTCAAGAGGTGTCTACTGACATCAGTGAGGATGAGAATTTACTGACAAGTTTCCAGCTCGATACCGGAGCTGACGATTCTTCAGGCTCCAGTCCGACAACTTCTTCTATGCCGTTCACCTCTGAGAACATATCCCGTGGGTATGTGTTTTCTTCAGAAAACCCAGAGGCAATCACATATGATGTTCTTCTACCAGAATCTGCAAGAAATGCTTCCGAAGGGTCAGCCTCGTCGGGTTCTGAAGAATCTCTGAAGGATCCTTCCGCCGACGGGAACGTGCGCTTTGCTAGCGCGGCAGATGGGGCAACACAGCCCGAGGCTGGATCGGGCAGAGAGAGCTTCCTCCAGACCAGCTACACCGCGATACCGATCGATGAACCTGGGAGGGCAGCTGGGTCTTCCGCTCCAGGCCCGCTGGTGTCACTGGGTCCCCCGGTCACGGACCTGGAAATGCCGCCTTATTCTACCTTTGCCTACTTGCCGACCGAGGTGACGCCCCGTGCGTTTACTCCATCCTCCGGGCAGCAGGACTCGGTCCCCACCGTCCACGCGGGACACTCACAGACAACTCAGCCGGTGTTCAATGGTGAGACGCCTCTTCAACCTTTCTACAGTAGTGACGTCTTTCCTCTAGTCACCCCTTTGTTGCTTGACAATCAGATCCTCAACACTACCCCTGCCGCTTCAAGTAGTGATTCGGCCTTGCATGCTACGCCTGTATTTCCCAGTGTCGATGTGTCATTTGAATCCATCCTGTCTTCCTATGATGGTGCACCTTTGCTTCCATTTTCCTCTGCTTCCTTCGGTAGTGAATTGTTTCACCACCTGTATACAGTTTCTCAGATCCTTCCACAAGCTACTTCAGCTGTTGAGAGTGATAAGCTGTCCCTGCATGCTTCTCTGCCAGTGGCTGGGGGTGATTTGCTATTAGAGGCCGGCCTTGCTCAATATTCTGATGTGACGTCACATCAGCCCACTACTCATGCTGCTTCAGAGACATTGGAATTTGGTGGTAGTGAATCTGGTGTCCTTTATAAAACGCTTATGTTTTCTCAAGTTGAACCACCCAGCAGTGATGTCATGATGCATGCACGTTCTTCAGGGCCTGAACCTTCCTATGCCTTATCTAGTAATGAGGGCTCCCAGCACTTCTTCACTGTTCCCTACGGTTCTGCAATCCCCGTGCATGGTTCTGTGGGTGTAGCTCCTCCGGCTCCCTTGTTTAGCAGCCCTAGCCACATTCCGGTGCCTCCGTCTTCGGTAATAACCCCGATCGCATCACGGCTGCCGCCGCCTCCTGGCCTCTCTGGGGATGGGGAGTGGTCTGGAGCCTCCTCTGATGGTGAATTTCTTTTACCTGACACAGATGGTCTGACAGCCCTTAACATTTCTTCACCTGTTTCTGTAGCTGAATTTACATATACAACATCTGTGTTTGGTGATGAGAATAAGCCGCTTTCTAAAAGTGACATAATATATGGAAATGAGACTGAACTGCAAATTTCTTCTTTCAGTGAGCTGGTTTACCGTTCGGAAAGCACAGTCCTGCCCGACCTGTACGATACTGTAAATAAGTTGAACATGTCTTTACCAGAATCCCCCGTTTCCTTTTCTAGCACAAAGGGCACGTTGCCAGGGTCTCTCGCTCCTCCTGCCACTAAGGTTTTTGATCATGAGATTAGTCAAGCTCCAGAGAATACCTTTTCAGTGGAGCCTGCACACGCCGTATCTCAAGCGTTCGGTGACACTTCGCTTAGACCTGTGCTTAGTGCGAGCTCAGAGCCAGCCTCCTCTGACCCTGCTTCTAGTGAAATGTTAGCTCCTTCAACTCAGCTCTTCTTTTATGAGCCCTCAGCTTCTTTTAATACTGAAGTATTGCTGCAGCCCTCCTTTCAGGCTTCTGATGTTGACACATTGCTTAAAACTGCTCTTCCACCTGTGCCTAGCGAGTCAATATCGGTTGAAACCCCCAAGGGTGATCCCCTTAGTTCTACAGGATTGCATCTCCTGGCCTCAAACTCTGCTTCGAGGGAAAACACGCTGCTTGCTACATCTGTACCAGTGGTCGAGGTATCGCCTGCTTCTAACGCGCACGCTGCTTCACTTCAAGGTTTAACCATTTCTTACGCAAGTGAGAAATACTTTGAACCGGTTTTGCTTAAAAGCAAAAGTTCCCAGCAAGTGGTACCTTCACTGCGCAGTAATGACGAGTTGTTCCCACCTGCCAATTTGGAGATTAACCAGGCCTTTCCCCCGAAAGGAAGGCATGCGTTTGCTACTCCTGTTTTATCTATTGATGTGCCACCAAATACACTTATAAATCAGCTCATGTATTCCGATGAAGTTTTCACCTCAACCCAGGGGTCTCTCACTGATGAGGTATTTGCTGGTATCCCAGCAGTTGTTTCTGATACACCCGTAACTGCCGATCAGTCTGTTCCTTTAGGAAATGTGCATGTTTCCGTTACAGTGGTTTCTCCTGACAAAGATGGTTCTGTCCCCACAACCAAGTTGCTGTTTCCCTCTAGAACAACTTCTGAGCTGATTCAGAGTGCCAGATCCGATGCTGATTTAGTGGGTGGTGGTGACGATGGTGATAATGATGATGATGATGATGATGATGATGATGACAGAGATAGAGATGGCTTATCCATAAATAAGTGCATGTCATGCTCCTCCTATAGAGAATCGCAGGAAAAGGTAATGAATGATTCAGACACCCAAGAGAACAATCTTGTGGATCAGAATAACCCAACCTCATATGCACTATCTGAAAATTCTGAAGAAGAAAATAACGTCACAGGTGTCGTATCAGCCGGTCAGACCGATATGGACAGAAGTCCCGATAAATCACCAGCAGCAAATGTGCCACCCCAAAAGCCCAGTGGTGGAAAACAGCACAATGACGTTCAGACTGGTGATGCCCTGCTTCCTTTCACTCCAGAATCTGGAGCATGGGCAGCTGTTGCAAGTGATGAAGAGAGCGGATCAGGGCAGGCTCTCTCAGATAACCCGAATGATAACGAGACTTCCACAGATTTCAGTTTTCCAGACGTTAATGAAAGAGATGTTGATGGGGTCCTGGAAGCAGTTGACTCAGAAATAACTCCTGAATCCCCACAGTCCTCAACACCAACTCTTACTAGCAGGCACTCAGAAGTATTCAACATTTCAGAGGCAGGTTAGTTACGGATCCAAGAGATAGACTGAGGTGTGGTGGTTTTCTTCCTCAAAAAATAGAAAAATCATGGAAGGAGAAATTTGGTGAAGTGGCACATCATTTTGTTTTTTAATCAAGACACTCAGCAAATCCATTTACAGTTTTTAAAGTATGATTTTAGTCATTATTTCAAATGAATATTCAACACGTCTTGGTTAGTGGATAGATAAAACGTTTCTTATTTATTGTCAATTTTTCATATTCTACAAGATGCCAGTTACATGTGGGAGCAATTATGTGTGCGTAATGCATTTTTAGTATACTGCTTTTTAAATGATAGATCGGAGCGTGCTGTTTTTAGGCAGTTTTAATTTTTATATTCACTTATGTTCTAAAATAAGTTGTAATCTAATTTCACTGAATTATAAAATGGATTATTAAAACTCTGATACGTAATATGTTATAAACACCTCTCTGACCCACCCCACGGAAAAGATATGATAATTTGCACATCCACATCAGCCTGGGGAGCTTTACAAAAAGTTCTATTGCTGAGTTTTGAGAGTTAATGGTAAGGTTTGTTTTGTTTTGTTTTAAAGAAGCTTTTAATTTTTTTAAGTTGTCTTTGTTTGATTACCTTAGTGTTGCCTAAAGAGGGCAGTGTGAACTAACAAGACACGTTCTACTTTGTACTTGTGGTTATACACCTTTTTAAGAAGTTAGATAATGGTCATTAATATGCAGAGTATGTATAGGTATTGTATGACAAGATGTAAAACACTAGAACATTTTCTGTAGACATGCATTTCATTTGTTAATGTATTTTATGCAAATTAGTTTATTGGCCAGCTGTTTCTTCAAGTAGATTACTTGCAACATATATAATACAGATGTTTGCTTTAAATGCCCATGGGGAGAAAAGGGAAATTCAGTACCATTAGGCATATGAAATACTAGATAATTTCATTGCCTTGATCATAATAATTTTATAATTTGCTTTTATTAAATTTTAAGGCATTTTTTTTTGAAATTAGCAATGATAATATTTAAATGTTAACGTAGTAAGTCAAAAGGTAGGTTAAGGTAACAGCTTGCAATCTTATTGCATAAAAGCAGATATTTATAAGCCAGATCATAGATACCAGTCTCATCAGGGTATTTTTTCTCTTTGTTATTTCCATCCTTTCAATTAGTTGTATATTTTTCCTCCAGTCAGTGCAGCAGCAATTAAAAGTTTGTACATTTTGATAGAGAAGTTTTTCTACATTCTGACTTGATACCTATTTAACATTTGCATTCCAGTTTAAACAAACTCTGATATGTGAGAATGAATAATGAATCCACAGGTCACTATATTCATTAGTGTTGCCATGTATATGAATTGTTATCTGGCTTCAATTAAATTTCAGGGTTTTTTTAAATTTTTATTAGATTTATTTTAAAGACATATCAGGAACTCATCCCTTTTTTTTCTATCTTCCTAGGTAGTGACATCATCAGCATGTTCTTGCCAGATTATGCTCTTATGGGGAAACTATATATATATTGCAAAATGCCAAATCTAGAATTATGAATTAAAACTTAGCAATTTCTTATCATTGCACTAATTTGATTAATTATTAAGAGTATGTTCTCCCACTCAGAGGAGAAAACAGTAGGAATATAACTTCCAATATCATCAGGTAACATAATTAATGGAGTAACTAAGATCAAACAAGATTAGGGAAGAATTCTTGCCCGCTTTTAAAACTGTATCTACAAAAAATCATATGTACTCTGTCTTAAAAAGTAATTGAATATGGCTCTTTATCAAATGCATACAGACTAATTCTGAAACTTATTATTTTATTATGTACTTCTAGAATGTAGAATAATTTATAAGACATGTTCCCTAAAACAAAATAGATAAGGCAAAATTAGTATCTGCAATTTATGAATGCATAAACTGAGACCCAGAGATACTAAATTACTTGATTCAGGTCAGGTAGGGAGTCAACACAAAACTGAGGCTGGAATCATGTGTTATTGGTGTCTGTCTCTTGGAGACTATGCTTTCATTATTGAGGACAATAAAATATACATAATGCTTAATTTGTAATACCAAAAGTATACTGTTTTATTCTAAAAATGTATTTTCAAGTATTAATCTTAACTTTGTCTACTGATCATCTATAGGTAGATTCTTGTCTTATTTAAGTAGCTCATATACACTACTGGACCATATTGAAATAGATATTTTAGTCTCAACTAATGAATATAAAGATCAATACAACTAGTTGTTCCCCATTACAGTATGTAAAGCAACAACCAGTTGATTGTACTTCCTTTTTTTATAAATATATTTTTTTGAATTTGGGGGGCATATTTTATTCATTTATTTATTTATTTATTCATTTATTTATTTACTTTTTAAGGTAATCTCTGCACCCAACCTGGGGCTTCACCTCATGACCCCGACATCAAGAGTTGCATACTCTACTGACTGAGCCAGACAGGGGCCCCTGATTATCTATACTTTCATGTGGTATCTCATCTTGAATAAAATACCTGGGTTTCATAATATGTGATTACCATGGATTTATCATTCTAACTCCTCAACGAAAATGTTTATTTTAAAATCAGACCCCCCAGAGAACTTATGAGTAAAATCTGTATTGCAAGATTATATATGTGTGCATGTGTGTATAGTGTGTGTGATATGTATGGTAATTTGTTACATGCTTTATGTGTTATATATCTTATATATATGATCAGACATATCTCATATATATGTATGCAATACATATATATAAATGAGATATGTATGTATCTACATACATACATATATATACATATACACCTATATACATAGTATTATTATATAAGCTCACTTTGTATATAAATTAATGTACATTATTGGTTTTCAGACATGAATGTGGATCAAAATCACCTGGAAGACTTGTTAAAACACAGATTGCTAGGCCTTACCTGCAGAGTTTCTGTTCAGCAGCTTTGTGATGGTTGGCGTGGGCCCAAAACTGGCATTTCTAACAAGTTCCAGGCTATGCCAATGCCAATATTCTGGGAACGACATTTCAAGAGTGACTGATACAGATAATGATATTAACCACCATTTGTAATTTCTAGGTACTCGGGACTTTTCTAAGTGGATTACTTCATTGTTTAGCCACAAAAATTCCATTTAGGTAACAATCGTTTTAATAGACAAAATGTGAACTTAAGTTCTCTGCCGTTAGATATACTTACTTTAGGGCTGCATTTATGAATTTGTTACTCTCAAATGTATTCTTCAATCTTGAAATTAAACCGATTTCCCTTTGTGTCCTATCACTAAAGTAAGATGCTTGGTGTATAAAGCACCTAATGTGCCGGGAGTCTAGAACACAGTGTAGACTCTCATGGGAGAACTTGGATGTAGTTCTTCCAGAATTTCTGCAGGCACACACTAAGAGCTCTTACTTTGGCAGAGCAGTTCTGAAGTCCAGTTGGGTTGGTTCCCCAATGCACACACTTCAAAGGAGAAAGGAAGCATTATGACTGGCCCCAGATACCCTGAAGTTCTGAAACTCTTTTGAGCAACTTGGAAGAATGGCGCCAGTTGCAATGATTTTGAAAGTGCTAAGGTGGTAATGCACCTAATTGGTGACAAAAATAGTCACTTGCCATCTTTCAAAATTAATCCAAAGACAGAAGTTAAACTTTTCTGTAATTTACACTTGCATATTTGAAAAGAATTCCTTCGATCTATGTATTCCTTCAGTTCGCATGCAATAGTATTTTTATTTTTGGTAGAGAAAAGTAGTTGATAAGAAGGGCATTCAAAGTAACACTTTAAAAGCAACCTACATTTAAATTTTTAATAGTCTTCTGGGTTGAATGGTTATCCTAATGTAAGAAGGGTTATCCTAACCTTCCCTCTTTATGGAATTCTTAATTGCTCCTAGCTACTTATTTAATTGCAGAATTAAAAACATCTTATTAAAATTAAGTTTGGAAAATCAAGATTATATATGGTACAGTAAGTAGCATTGTTTTTCCCGGTCATTTTATTTAAAAACTGGGTAGTTTATTTTAATACTTCTGTTTTCCTTTTAGCAAGCTTTTCAAGGCAGTGTTATGCTCATTTCTTGCCACAACACCTGTACGGATCTCTGCTCGGAGAGCCTGCCTTACTTTTTAAACTTTGCTTTACTTAAATTGGCTTGTAATCGTAGACACTCTTTGTATCATAGATTTGAAATTGTAAAGGTAAGCACCGGCAATGAAGGTTGCACTTACTCGGTTGAAAAATGTTGTGACTTATTCTTAAGCTTAAATATCAACTCTCTCAATTTTCTCCGACTACAGAGGCCAGTAATAGTAGCCATGAGTCTCGTATTGGTCTAGCTGAGGGGTTGGAATCCGAGAAGAAGGCAGTTATACCCCTCGTGATCGTGTCAGCCCTGACTTTTATCTGTCTAGTGGTTCTTGTGGGTATTCTCATCTACTGGAGGTAAGTTGAGTGCTTGTTTTAGACGTGTGTTTCATAAAGCTTAGATTCTGCCTGTTGTTTACCTGAAAGCTCTTCAAAGCGTATTCAAAATTCGTTTTACTTGAGAGCTACCATTAATTTAACCATAAATAAGGTGATTTTGTAAATCCAAAGACATGACAATACAAGATTTGATTGTTCTTCATACTTCAATGAAACAAAGTTAAAATGGAGGAATTCCGGCTTCCATTAATATTTAATGCAGTATTTTGACAGCGTACTTTGATATTAATCTCATTAACATTCAAACATTATCATAGCATTTAACGTAAATCTAAGCTTCTCAGCTTAAACGCTCCAGCTGTTACAATTTCAAAAGTTACTGTTTCGGAAAACATAATTTTTGATATAGTAAAAACAGAGTTTATTTGTAATAGTGGATTTTATACAAGCTGCACATCGACGGCATACTGATAACAAAAAAAAGATAACCCATACATAAATGTAAAAATCAAGCAATTAAAATGTGGGTATGATGAGGAAATAAAGTTGATGACTGTATTAAGACGCATAGGACTTTAAAATTAATTATAATTTGCCTTGAGGATGAAATATAGCTTTGCTGTCATCAATAGCCTATTAAGACTTTTAAAGGACAAAGAAAATTGCATCCATCCTAAGCTTCCTGTCCCAAAGCAAGCAGAACACACTGCAAATTAGGGAGTTTACTGGGGAAACAATGTAAGTCAGTATAACTATTATAACTGTATCTAGGAAAACAAAAACTTTATGACGATATAAGGAATCATAGCTTAGTAATTTCTTCCTTTGTTTTAAAAGAGAATTTTGTTCAGAAGCTTTATAATTAATTCCTTTTTTTAAGCAACATCTTCCTATAAGTTCATATGACCACTCTTTATGTGTTATCTTAAAGTATATTCTCTCAGTTTACTCAAAAATATTTATCATGTTTATGGACTATTTCCCATGTGTGTAGTACTATGTTGACTACTATAGAAAATATCAAAAAAGAATGAATGAATGAATGAATGAATGAGTGAGTGAACAAATGAATGAAGTCACGATGGCTGAGAAATTTATGCTTATTGAGAATTTCCCATGAAAAATTTATAACATACTATATAAAAGTTTACATATGACAACAGAAATCGCTAATGGTAACAGGGTCAGAGAACAAGGGATCTTATAGGCCAAGATGACAGAGTAAGTGTAAGATGTAGGGCTTGAGCTGGATAAGATTCAGAAAGTGGAGATAAAGGAGACCAGAGACCAGCCTTCCAGGCAGGGACACAGCAGGCAGGAAGAATGGGAAGCAGGGGGCAGCTGGGTGTGTCTGAGACAGTGAGGTCTGGAGCCCACAGTTGCATGTCTGGACATTGGTTGACTAAAGTAGAATGTTTTCATGACAAGCTGTGTTTCATATCAGACTGCTTTTACAGAAAAGAGTAAACCGCAGAGGACAGAGAACAGATCATACTTTTGTTATACATGAGCTGGGAGTCTGTTTTGTCCATAACATGATGCAAACAAAGCTGCTTTCTTCACTGATTCCTTTAATTGCCAATGACTCTTTTTTACAGAAGATTCCATGCTCAGCAGAGTAGCATGAACCCAGTACACAACCCATAAATGTTTGCTCAACAAGAATTCATATTGCGGGGCGCCTGGGTAGCTCAGTTTGTTGAGCGACTGCCTTCGGCTCAGGCCATGATCCTGGAGTCCCAGGATCGAGTCCCGCATTGGGCTCCCTGCTCAGTAGGGAGTCTGCTTTTCCCTCTGACCCTCCCCCCCTCATGTGCTCTCTTTCTCTTTCTCATTCTCTCTCTCAAATAAATAAATAAAATCTTAAAAAAAAAAAAAAAGAATTCGTATTGCTTTTCTCCCTACTCCCCCTGGGTTTGTTGGCCAAACTTTTTACCAACATTGATTTTGTGTTTGTTCAGGTTCCTGGTTTCTAATCTGATTTTCCCTGCCAAACCGATTTTTGAAATTAGTTGGAATTAGAGTTAATTTTTTAAAAATAAGATGGAAAATAAACCCAAGTTATACTTCATAAAAAATGGTGTTAGAATAAATTTCCAATAACAATGTCAGATGGTTTACAGTTATAATATTGAAATAATTAGAATGAGAATTTTAATCTTTTTTACTTAATATTTCAAGTTTATTTTTTGCAAATTTGGAAGTGTCTTATTTAATATGATTTGATATTTCATGGAAAATTAAAATCTGTAATGGTTTTTATTTTTTAAAAGATTTTATTTATTTATTGGAGAGAGAGAGAATGAGAGAGAGAGAGCATGAGAGGGGGGAGGGTGAGAGGGAGAAGCAGACTCCCTGCCAAGCAGGGAGCCCGATGCAGGACTCCATCCTGGGACTCCAGGATCATGACCTGAGCTGAAGGCAGTCGCTTAACCAACTGAGCCACCCAGGCGCCCCTGTAATGGTTTTTATATTCTGTTAATAATGGGTCATCTCATCTGTATAATGTGCAGAAAAAAGAGAAATGGTTTACCAGTTGAAAAATACTAAGTTGACCTTCACCAACAAGATGTTTCTCTTTTCCTCACAAATAACACTTTATGTACCTTGAATTCAGAGTGCATTAGCTTAAAATATGAGCACTCTGATGATTTTATGTATGTATTTTATATCTATCTATCGAACAGTCTGATAAAATCTGTCACTCTTTTACTTACCCACTTAAAATTTAACATATCTGTCCTTCTCACATCCTTTTGAAATTAATTCACTTCAAAATGTAACTTTTTAGATCAGTAATACCCCAGGGGTATTAGTTGGTGACAGAAAATGACAATGTTAGTGCATTCTTCAAGGTTTTTGTGAGATATTCAAATTCTGGTGTAGACCCATATGATTTCACTGGCCAGTATGAAAACCTTTTAGACCTTTGTGGAAAGAACAGCCTGTGGAAAGATTCAAAAACAGAATGGCATACCCACAAAAGTCCTAATAGTAACGCAGTCCTTATGAGTTTTTCCAAGCTGATATATTTAAATGTTTTTCTAACCTAATTTCTTAGGAGAAAAAAATAATTGTAAAGTGATATAATGAGTCATTTCTTTTGTCTCTTACCTAACTCAAGGTGGTCCCCTAGGTTTTGGGTAAACCTTGAGAGAAAGCATGTTGTAGCAGGAAATCAGAACAAATTAGGGGTGATAAAATCTGGGTCCCTTTCCCAGCTCTGCCTGGCATTTGTTCTATGGTCTTGGGCATGTCACTTAGCCATCTTTTCCTCTCTCTACCATTTCGGGGGAGGGTTCACTAGATCATCTCTAAGATTGCAGTCAGACCTTCTTTAGGGTCTCTGTGATGAATGCGGCATAATTTTTGAATATGGTTATATTTGTATAAGGATCCAAAAAATGGAATAATAATTACACATTTCTGGCTTTTAATTCTAAATACTTAGTGTGATGAAAAGGTGTAAATCAAATAATCAGATTAACATTGATTGATAGGACCTATGTCTACAAGTTTAAAATAGTCATCACTTTTTTCATCATGGCTGAGTGATAATTAGCAAGAGACATAGTTATCAACACTTAGCACATAGACGTGAAGACATTCACTGCTTATACAGAACAGATGGACTATAGATATTGAATCTTGTCATACATTAAATAATATGCCTTGAAATTATTTTCCAGATGTTTTAAGGCAGAATTTACATGAGCCAAATCGTAAGTTTCTAAGTTGCAAAATGACTTCAATATGGAAGATTTTCAGAAAAGTTCTTTTTAAAGAAGACAAAAGGCAAACTTTTGAGAGCCTTTTTAAGCGTTGAAACCTGAAAAATACCAAAGGTATAATCAACAGAATAGCACTCCATCAAAAGCAGTATAGAAAAGAATGTTTGTCTATGTTTACATAGACAGTTGTTTTGGCTTTGGGGAGTGGGAAGAAAAGCAGTATGAGTTTTCTCTTGATCTTACGTTCAAATTTATGAGTCACTAAGGATAAGCCACCAACCCAGAATGGAGACCTCCCAGTACCATTCTGCCTCTAGTAGAATGTCACTTCCTAGGTAAAACTGCCCTATAAAATATACTGAGCAATATATTATTACTTTCATCAAGAATTGATCCCACGCTATTTTAACTTTTCCCACTTGCAAGTTTTTTGGTATGATTTTATAACGTTCTTTTGTTGTTTGTTAATACAAGTAATGCTATTGGACCACTTATTTGCTAGACCAACAAATATTTGCTTATATAACTAAAAAGAGTAGAGTTGGTATTTACCCAGATCCTACAGTGAATATTAAACATACTAAACCCTAATACCAATAAGTTTTAATTTACCTTTTTCTGTTCTGTGAGGTGCTGCCTTCTTCCCATTTTCTTAGACCCATCCTCTCTCTACCCATCCATCCATCCATCCATCCATCTTTTACTCTAGATATATATATTTCACCTCTCCCTCCCAAATGTTTTGAGATTTTAAGTTATCCCATTTGGGGCTCAGGTAGGCAAGAAGTCTAGGATGCAGCTGAATAACCTATGGTTAGTGGAATTTAGTTACTCCTGGAAATCCATCTAATCATTCAACATTTAATACCTATTGTATTCTTGGCACTACATTCAGAGTTGGGTTTATATAAATCAAAAGACATTTAAAAATGTAATGAGGATATAGGCACAAAACAAATATATTGCAAAATAATAACCCTAACTAACAATTAATTAAAAAAATATTTAAAATTATGTAGAATAGAGTTCAGGAAGTGAAGGTCATCCTTGGATTAATTAACCATATTTTTCAAAACAGTCTTTGTAAAGGCATGGAAGTTTGTGTTGGGTGGGGGTGCAGTGAAAAGAGAGAAACTAGAATGCTAGAGGCTACTTAGGAATGAGAGCTTTATCACAGAGAAGATACCTCCGACCTGTCTTTAAGGAGGATAGGCATATTCATAAGTGAGGCATTTTGGTCAGGAGAACCATGATTAAAGCAGGGAGGAGAAATAGTGAGTGAGGACGGGACAAGGCATGTTCAGTGATCTGCAACTTGTTTGTATTATTGGAGTATAAACTTCAAGGAGAAAGTCAAAACAGGTGAGGGCTGTAGCTAGGTAGCATTTAAGTACTGGAAGATCTTGGGTACCAGTATCTAAAAACCTGTCAAGTACAGAAATTGAGTCGATATATCAATGTAACAGGGAGATCACATTTTTGGCTTGATAGCAAAAAAAATATCAACAGTAAGAAGCATAACAGTGTAACGAAAAGGCCTCCTCTTTGGGTACCACTTAGAGGTACTTAGAATGAGTTTTCAGTTGGTGTGAGAAAGAAATATCTAGCAACTAAGGATGATTCATAAAGGAATGAGGTCCTTGTCACCGGAGACAATCTTTATATGTCAGAGAGATTCTTTATCTGTTGCAATCTTGCACTAGGTCCCTTAAGACATTTTACAACTTTAAGATTCATTGAAAAATAAACAGAAACACTTTTACCAGTTTGTGTAACCACATTTTAGAGGAATCAAAGAGATTTAACTGTGATTTTAGAGGAAGTAGCAAGCCCGGTGTTTTCCTATCCACGTGGCAGGACCTGCTACATCTGCAGTTGCACAAATAAACCAAACTCCCCCGATAGTTTCTGCTCCAGTCCAGTTTCAGTTGTGCTCAATGCAGACTCTCAGTTGGGTAGTTTCTTTATCATGAGACCTGTGGCCCTCAGCCCTCCCCTCATTCGTAGTCTGCTGTACTCTTTCCGCTTTCCAGGATGTGGACCTAGCTCAGGTCGCTCTGACACTTGATTCCATATCCATTCATCTTCCTCCTACACCACCTGTTCTCTCTTGAAGACATTCTTGTGTTCTCTTGATTATCTGTGTCCTCTTATCAAAGGCTTATATGATCACAGCAGAGGGTTGATCTTCACTATGCACATGATGGCTTTTGGATTTTTTTTTTTTGCTTGTGACATTAAGGTTACAAATAAACTATATAATTTTATAGTACTCATACTTACAGCAGTGAATTCCTTGAACAAATATTTTGGGGCCCCTACCACTGCTCTTTGCACTGAGGACTAACACTGTGTTTAGACAAAGCCCCTTGCCTTCGTGGGGCTTAGATTCTGATGAGGGCAACTAAAACCATGTAAGACAAATATATAAGTAAAGAATTTCGGAAAGTGGTAAGTGACACAAAGCTGACAAAAGGGACTATAATAGTGACTTGGTGGGATGAGCTAGTACTTTTAGCAATGTGATCAGGGAAGGACTGTCACAGGAAGTGGCACTTGAGCCAGTGCAAAAATGATGGGAAGGAAGCAGGTGGCCAGAAGGAATGTCAAGAGCCAAAGCCCCAAGTTGAACTGATGGGGCCTCTTGGAAGGAGGAACAGAAGACCAGCGTGGGCCTGAGCTTAGTAATAGGGGATCCTAGGAGAGGACACCCCTGATGTGGGTGGGGGACCAGGTCATGGAGGGTCTCATAGCCCTTGCTGAAATAATTGAATATCATTCTAATTCCACGGGGAGGCCACTGAAGAATTTTATGCAGCAAACTGTTTACTGAAGGAATTTTACAATTGAGGTGTGTCCTATAGGAACAAATGTTATGTTAAAGCTCATTAGAATAAGTACCTTGTAGCTTGAATCTTAAATTGAAAATGAGATTGGCATTTTTACCCAGATATTTTTATTTAAGCCTAACCGCTCATGAATAATATTTCAAATAAATTAAATGACCCACATCAAAGAGTGTCATTAGCAGTTTTAATTATCTAAATTTTTTTAATTAAGTATGGTTTGCATTAGTTTAAAGCAGCAGTTGGTTCTTTGCTCTTCTCAATAGTTTGTGGTGTGCTCTTACCAGATGTTACTCTTATTATCTGAATGAAAATAGATTCAGGTGACATTGTAGGTCATAGCTGTCGTTGATTCCAAATATATTCATTCTCAAAACCCTCATCAACAAGACTAGCATCTGTTGGAAAGAAAATCACGCCTGGTCTTGGTTGTATGCTCATTATTTCCTCACTTCGTTCTGTCATTACTGCATTATCAGGATAAAGCTGTCTTCCTTTTTCATCAAAATATTACCACTGTAGAATTACATTTCTACATAGCCGTAGCTACCTTTTGCTAGCATATGCTGAATATGCTCAGAAAGGTATGGTCACTTAAATATTGAGTGAAAAGAGCTTTGGACATGATTTTTTCCACTCCGGTCCAGGCCAAGGTGGCAGGACACGCTGGTATATGGCAACAGTGAAAGAGTAACTAGGGCACTGAAGTGTCCTTATCGCGGCAAAATCCTGTCGGGTACCAATCAGCTACAACTTCAAATGCCATCTCTGTTTTCAGCGTGTCCGGTATCTCCTCACTCGGACGCATCTGGCGTATGTAGAACTGAGATCCATTTGGAGGCCATAAAATTCTTTAATACTTCGTGTTTTATAAAATAGATACAGCTTTCCATTTATGTTTTAATTCTGGAGATTTCTGTCATAATTTGCAAGCAGCTCAGAAGTAGTTTATGGCAGCTAGTAAATAAATTGCTTTCTTTTCTTTCCAGGAAATGCTTCCAGACTGCACACTTTTATTTAGAGGACAGTACCTCCCCTCGAGTAATATCCACACCTCCAACACCTGTCTTTCCAATTTCAGGTAATAGCTTAAGGTGTGACCAGGAGTAGCGGAAGGTTTGTCCTTACTGGAGTACTTTGCAAAGGGCTCTAATGGATATGAGTAAATACTTCAGTTGCCCAAAATATTTATTACTGCCATGTATCAGGCACCAAGGTTTCTATCTTATTCTCATTAATTTTGAACATTTTTAACCACATAGATGATATGGCAAAATAATTCATAATATTCAGGTATAGTCTGTTAACATAACATAGCAATAAAATATTAGTTAAGAATAAGGCTGACCTTCAGCCATTTCCAGTACTTTAATTGAAACCTGAACCACAGAAGTCAGACTAAACCAAGGCAGTAAGGCTGGATAGGACAAAATAACAAAGAGAAGCATAATGCTTAGTTTCTTTCTGATCATCTGACTTTATGTGAGAAAAGCTTCCTTAGCTACAGTAGGGGGAAAAAAAAACTATAAAATGGTGGGAGTAGAAGAAAAACATGAGCACACAAAGAATGTGTAATTGCCTGAAATACTTAAAGTCACAATGTCAAACAGTTTGAAGACTGTCTATTTTTAACAGAACTTACCTGGTTAACAATATTCAAGAATTAGCCAGGGTCATTTTGACTGAGACATCCATTGACCCTTGAGTGCACACTGTAAGATCACAGACATTTACTTGATTAACATTTTATAACATTTCAGAATGAAAAGTGGTAACAAAAAAGGAATTGCCCAGAATATGTGAACCATGGAAGAAGCTCTGGAGGATAGAGGATAAAACAGACACAGAGAACCACCGAACCAGGGAAAACAGAAGGAAAAATTCGTCAACGTGGTTCTTTTAAAGAGGCCTCTTTTTAAATTGACTGATACTCTATATGTTATTGTTAGAGGCCCAAATTCCACAAGATGTTATCTCCTCAAATCTCATGATTTAAAAAACATTAACAAAAAAAAAGAGAGAGAGAAGCATTTTCTGTGTAATTTTCAGGGGGCATAGGAATTAAAAGTGTTTGGCTTTTTCCTCTTTTATCCACTCTGAGTCTTTAGCCACCACTTACTTCTGTTTTTCTAGATAATTTTAAAATTCTGTACCTTTATTTTAGTACAGCACACTTTCTTATTAACATATTCAGAATTCTGAGATTGGCAGCTCTCAGGTGTCTGTTACATTTTGATTCCCTTCCCTTTCATACCTCGTGTGCAGACGCCCTCAGCATGCATAAGCAAATTAATATAATATCGCCCCAAGTCCCATATCATTTATTATTATTATTTTTTATTGTTAGAAAATTTTAATAGCCTATCCTTATAATAAAAACATACAAAACCTTAAAGGCAGAACAAAATCAGTTAAATAATCCCAAATCAGGACGTTGTCCAGGAACTCCAGAATCCCCTGTTCTACTTCTCAGAAGAGTTGTGATCAAGGGCATTTCCTCATTTCACCTGCGCTCCAGATCACCCAGATACCTGCCTTTCCATGTAGAATCAGAAATTAAAAAGATATGTTAGTCTCACTTACTTGCAGACCAGTTCGTGAAAGAAATGACCAAAACACATGACTGTAAATAAAAAGTAGTCAGTTTGGTTGTGAAAAGAGGTTAGCTGTGCAGGATAACATCTATGGGTTTGAAGGACCCTCATGAGAAGAGCTAATGGTTTAGATGTGACAAGCTATTTCTGTTTTCTTGTCTAATTATAAAAGCTACTTCTAGGCAAGATCCTTCTGCAGATGTGAAGGCAGAATTACACCTTTGTCTAGTGTTTCTCAAGCTTAACTGGCTAATTCAATTTTAGTATTCAGGTACACTCATCTAAGAGAGAGAACAGATGGATTCTACTTTTTAGAAAAATCAACAAATTCTTGGTAACTGAAGCTTAAAAATATTAAATGGCCTAGATGCTGAACATCTGTTGATGTAAATAAGTGTTTCTAGTGAAATGTGTTTGATGTTTCCTTGTCAGAGAAATCACTTGTGAAATTGCATACTGTGAACTAGTAATATGTTTAATCTAAGAAAGTCTTTCCAGATTGGGGGGGGGAAACAGCCAGTTAAAATAATTTGGCCCCTTCACAATTAATTAACAGATCCAATGACTTTGTTTACATAGCATATTTTCAAGTTAGAGTTCTTGAAATTTTACATATTAAAAGTCCCAAAGGTTTTTGACATTATCCTTAATGAATAGTCTGCATTTCAATGTTTTCTGTTATTTATGGAGAGAAGGAAAAAATGTGTTCAAATGTAAACATCTGACTAACCGTAAAACATTAAGCTATGTAATTTTATAAAACTGAAATTATACTATATATTATGTTTAGTTCATGGTAAAATTGAAAATATTTCTGCATTTTTTTAAAGATTTATTTATTTGAGAGAGAGAGAGCACAAGACGGGGGAGGGTCAGAGGGAGAAGCAGACTCCCCACTGAGCAGGGAGCCCGATGCGGGACTCAATCCTGGGACTCGATCCTGGGACTCCAGGATCATGACCTGAGCTGAAGGCAGCCGCCCAACCAACTGAGCCACCCAGGCACGCTCCCTATGCATTTTTTTTTTTTACCCAGAAATCACATTCATGTGAAATGTGTTAACGGAAATGCAACTCCTACTCGTGTTAAAGAAAGTTACCCATAAAAAGATGCAGTCCATTGATAAGACGTGAGGCTTTGGTGGTATTCATTATTTAACTTTAAAAATTAATTCTTGTTTCTCTAGAGTATGAATGGAAAAGAGATTCATGATCAAATCAGAATTATAAAATGCAAGTTATGATTGATAGTAAATTTGAAGAAAATTGATCATTGCTGCTTAGTGTTTCATTGGAAGCTGCAATTCCCTTGGGGTTGTAGGAATAATTGAACTTTGAAGTTGTTTGAGAAGAAGGCACTTTATAAATCTTTATAAGTGAGAGGCATATTCCTTTCTGTTGAATTATCCTTTCCGAACTAATTTTTTTTTATTTACTTAGATGATGTTGGAGCAATTCCAATAAAGCACTTTCCAAAGCATGTTGCAGACTTACATGCAAGTAATGGGTTTACTGAAGAATTTGAGGTATGATTTTAATATGCCTATTTGAAAAAATATGGAAAATAGTAAATTTAAAAGATTCAGCAGTAGGCTATTTCTTGACCTAAAGACATTGAAACCATTTTCACTTCTAGGAAGAATATTAGTTCTGTAATCACTTATGTGTTTAGATGTGTTATGGTTACCATATAATTTAGAAAATTGGTTTTCCATTTTAAAAGCCAAGTTGTCCTCATAGGAAAAAAACATTGTTAATTTTCTCCCATAAAATACAGAATTCCAGTATTCTTCTTTTAATCTGAATTAGTAACACTGATTCCTTTTAATTTTCTAAATTATATAAATTATACTAAACTACTAAATTTCGTGATTTTCAACCGAAGTACATATAAACTCTTACTTGTTAAGTATTACATCAGTGTAAATGCAGAAGCATTTATTATACAAGGTCTAATAAATATTATACGAGGTAAAGTCCTATCTTCTCCTCAAGAAAATACGCGTTTCTAAAAAACATTTGAACTGCACAATCAGTAAAAATTTTTCTGGTAATATTCCATAAAATAATCTTGGTTAGAAGAGTCAGAGAAATTTGCTGCAAATTTACCATGGCCCACTAAACTCTCAGTTAAGCAGACTTAAGTCCAGAGTTAACAATGACAACCACAAAAAAATAAAGTTACCATTATTGAGCACTCGCTAATATGCTGTTTGTCGCACTAAATGCTTCTACATTCAATCTTCACCCAACTCTGGAAGTTATTTGATTTTTATCTCTATTCATATTACTGATAAAGTCCACTTCCCTAGAAGTCAGTTAACAACTTATAAATGGTAGCGCTGGGACACTTATCTCGATGAGCATTGAGTGATGTGTAGAATTATTGAATCATTATACTGTACACTACAACTAATATAACACTGCATGTTAATTATACTTCAATTTAAATAAACAACTAATTAATTTAAAAAAAATAGCAGGGCTGGGATTCAAACCTAGGTTTGTGATTTTCAAACATAATACTTTCCATTCCAGCAAGCAAGAGATCTTTAGCCTCCTCTCTAGCCCCTCCCCTCTAGGAAACATCACTTTGCTTTTCTGTCTCCACCCTCAACCCAGAACTGCTCTATGGATCTCCCTCTTTGAAGCACTTTGAGCACTGATCCTGATCAGAGGGTGTCCCACTCTCCCCCTTGTACCCAGCACTTGCTTCCCAGGAGTCACATCAGCCAAGATATGTTTAGGGAAGGAAAATGCCATAAATTAGAAAGCTTTAAGAAATCAAAAGAACTAGAAGTGAAATGTGATACATTTTCACTAAATTAAAAATAACAGAAGCCAATTCATTTAATCTTAAAAGAAATCTGAGTCGTTGAAATAGAAAGCAACAAGAGGTAATGACTAAGTAAAGTGGAATAATATAAAGAATTACATATTTAAAACATCAAATTATTTTTTCTTACCATAATGGAGATTAGAGGGTAGGTGGTGCCGTGTTAACTCACAGAAAACTATTAGGCTCACATCAAACAAAATCGTGATTGAAAGAGGGAGAGTGTGTCAAGGATGGGTCTCATTTTCCAAATGTTCAAAGCCACAAGGAAAAATAGACGATTTATAATAAAAGTTGCTGATAGCACATGCACAAAGGCAGAATCATAGTTTTAACAACTATAAAATCATTTTCAATATTATTAAGCAGCTCATAATAATTAAATTAATAAAATGACCTCACATTTTTACTTAAAAGTATATTCTTAATTCCATTGCTTTTAACTCACACAGTCTGGTTCAAGAAAACGTTTCATTAACTTAATAATTAGCTTAATAACTAATAATGCTATGCCTTTTAAGTGGTTCATAATACTAAATTGTGTTTAAATCTAGAGTCAGAACGGCTTACTGCCAAAGAGGCCTTAAAAGCTTCTCTATAGGGAGGCTGGGCCATTTGCTGATGAGTCAGATTCATATTTGGGTTATATACTTTCTCAAAAATTATAAAGCTTTCATGTTATTATCTTAATACTAAATAATTGTGAGTTCCTACCTAATGTATTTAGATGGAAAAAACATCTCTAAAAAGGATTTTAATTCATTTTAAAAGATAATTGGCAGAAATAATTTCTCTGTACCCATCAAGGTTTAAATTAAAAAGAGGTCTACTAATTAAATATGTTGAAAGTAATTCTATCTAAATTTTGTTTCAAAATGATATAGTATATGTGATAAATAAATTTAGAAGAACTTTTAATGTTCTGACAGCCCTAAATCTGTTACAAACCACCTAATAGGAAGCTGTTTACTCTTTAAAATTACTCCAAATAAATAAAAAATGGGTCACTAATTCAGAGTTTCAAATAGTGCTATAGTGGTCAAATAAAATTATATTTGGATATTAGCAAATCTGACTAATGCAACAAAATGTGTCATCAAATACAGGGTTTTTCTCATCTGCATTTTTTATATTCATATTATTATACCACTGTCCCCTTTTAAAAGTGTTATTTTTTTTCCTTTTACATAATTTTAAGGTTCCAAATTGTTAGAAGTTTTGATTTGCATGCAACTGTTTGAAACATTCTGTTTTGTTACTATTTGACGAATGTATTTATTGCATGATCATAGTTTTCCATTGTAAACCTAATATGAACGCTTTTTTTTCTCATTTGTCGTGTGCTGTGGAATTTGATTTCTTTACTTTTTTGGCATTCATTCCCTCATTAGACACTGAAAGAGTTTTACCAGGTAAGGCATTATTTCACTGCATTTTCTCTTAGCCAAGAAATAGTTATAACCTGTAAAAACAATTTTTGGGGGATAGACTAATTTGTGTTGTCATCTATGTTATATTTTTAAGGCACCTTGTTTGCAAGGCTAGGTGTTCAAATGTTGTACATACGTTTCTTTACAGGAAGTGCAGAGCTGTACTGTTGATTTAGGTATTACAGCAGACAGCTCCAATCACCCGGACAATAAGCACAAGAACCGGTACATAAATATCGTTGCCTGTGAGTATATCCTTAACTCAGCCCTGGCTCCGTTAGCACTGTTGTTCCTGGGCTCTTCTGTGTTGTCCTCACGTCTGACAGCAGACCTCAGTGTCGTTGTTTCAGGACCTTGGTATCAGGGAATAAGGCTTGTGTTAGCTAGTACATGGCATTATATTCCTCTAACTGAAATACAACCTGCAATTAACCATAGGTCTCCTTTAGACAAAACAAACTCCAATTGTCATCGAGGCCCTTCTTCAAGCCCCATGGGCTATAAATCTGTTCTTATGGTTTCCCTGATTATTTATATCCCCGGGCCCTATTTTCATTTGAGATCTATTTGCTTCTATGTGAATTTATGAACCAAATAGATTTTCTTTAGACTTTATTTTTCCTTCTAGCCTTTTCTTCTCTTTCTTGCCATTCTTCCTGGGGTCTTATAAAGGGCTAGTTGGATTCTTTTTATTCCTTCTTTCCCTTTATTTTCTTAGCTGTTTTTTTTTTTTTCTCAGTGAGCAGCTGTCTCTTTTGTCTAATGCAAATTTATCTGTTTTTTTCCTATGAAATTACCATCTTTCTTCCATTTTATTCCAGCATCTCATGTTTACACGTTTCCTCTTATTTTCCTTTACGTTCCCCTCCATCTCTAGAAATCCATCTACAACCCCTCCCCCAAAACTTACACTCCTCTCCTTCCTTACATATTCAGTGGGCCTCCCTGGATCCTATGAACACAGTATTACCAGCTTGGTTATTTAAGTTCTGGTTCCATCCTGGAAGCCAATGAAAATGAAACTGCACTCCTTTTTTTTTTTTTTCTAAGTTTTTATGTAAATTCCAGTTAGTTAACATACAGTGTGGTATTGGTTTCAGGTGTATAATACAATATGGTGATTCAACACTTCCACACAACACCCGCTGCTCATCACAAGTGCCCTCCTTAATCCCCATCACCCATTTAACCCATCTCCCCCTCACCTTCCCTCTGGTACCATCAGTGTGTTTCCTATAGTTAAGAGTCTGTTCCTTGGTTTGTCTCTCTCTCTCTTTTCTTCCCTTTGCTCATTTGTTTTCTTTCTTATATTACACATACGAGTGAAGTCATATGTATTTGTCTTTCTCTGACTGACTTATTTCACTTAGTATAATACTTTAGCTTCATCTGTGTCATTGCAAATGACAAGACCTCATTCATTTCCATAGCTGAGTAATATTCCATTGTGTGTTATGTATGTATGTATATATATACCATTTTTTTCTTTATCCATTCATCAGTCCATGAACGCTTGGGTACAATTTGGCTATTGTAGATAATGCTGCTGTAAACATCAGGGTGCATGTATCCCTTTGAATTGGTATTTTTGTATTCCTTGGGTAAATAAATACCTAGTAGTACAATTGCTGGATTATAAGGTAGTTCTATTTTTAACTTTTTGAGGAAACTCCATCCTATTTTCCACAGTGGTTGCACCAGTTTGCATTCCCACCCACAGTGCAAGAGGGTTCCCCTTTCTCCACATCCTCACCAACATCTGTTGTTTCTTGTGTTGTTGATTTTAACCATTCTGACAATGTGAGGTGAAATCTCGTTGTAGTTTTGATTTGCCTTTCCCTGATGATCAGTGACATTGAGCATCTTTTCATGTGTCTGTTGGCCATCTGTATGTCTTCTTTGGAAAAACGTCTGTTCACGTCTTCTGCCCATTTTTAATTGGATTATTTGGGGGTTTTTTGGTGTTGGTTGTAGTTCTTTATATGTTTTGGATACTAACCATTTTATTATCACTTTTTCTTAAATAGTTTGGATAGATGCCGCTTTCTTTCCACAGGGATGACACAAATTTTTATTAGAAGGGTTTAGTAGGACATTCTGCTTCATGTTTGTCTTCCTCACCTGAAGCAACTATCCTGGCTGCACATCAAAATTCAGCTGCTGCTTGGACAGGGTGAAGTTGTTAAACTATTCCCACTATAAGCCAAACAGAAAACACCTACCAAGTAATTAAGAGAGGATGGAGATTAACATTTGTTGTACACCTTCTCTGTGCCTGGCTCTGTAAATACATGATTTCATTTAATCCGTGAAATGATCTGGCACATAGATAATAATAGTCCTATTGTAGAAATGAAGAAAACAACCCAGCAAATTTACCCAGTAATACCCCTCTAAAAATATTAGAACCAAAATACACAAAACAATAGGTCAGCCTGGCATCAGACCCATCTTTTCGTTGCCATATACCTATTTCTGCATCCATTCCCTGCTCTTTGAGCTGCTGTTGTCCCAGAAGCAGTAATATCTCAGGATGTCTCTCCAATTGTCCTGGTTTGGACTGTATTCACTTCTTCTTCTTCTTTTTTTTTTTTTTTTGTATTCACTTTTTCATCCTTGAAAAGAATAAATAAATCCTGCCCCATGATACTACCAATTTTCCTTCTATTATTAACATTTCCCTTTCTTAATGTGTCGTTCTTCCAAATACATATAATTTCTCTGTAGAACTGAAATTGATCTCAAAGTCCCCATTTCAGAGTGTTTTCATTGCCGCAGTACACCATGTCTGAGTTAGCATCGTTTTCACCCCCTTTAAATAGACAGTGCCAGACCCCCGCCCTGTTCTCAGGCAGCCGTCCTCCTGCCTCGCTGTGCTCCTTGAGGTTGTCCCCTTGAACGAGCTGTTGGCTGGAACCATTCACAGAAACTTCCTAGGTCCCTTCTACTTCCCTCTCTACTTTCTCTTCCTCCACCAACCCCTTATTCAAGAGTGCATACTCTGCCATCCTTCTTTAGCTTTCTGAGACACCCCCCTCCAACCTCCTCCTCTCCCTTTCAGTGGCTCTCCACTGTTCACAGTCCCAAGATCCATCCTTAGAAACCCATCTAAGACACCAATGTCACCTTCCAATCTTTATGAAAATTCTTATTATCATCCCAAACCAACACAATCTCTGCCTTCAAGTCCCCCCTCATACTCTGCACCTCCCTTGACACCTGAGCATTCCTTTCTGTATATAAGTCCATGCTCATCATCTGCATCAGACAACTTGCTGAAGGCAGGAGCTCTTGTTATATTTATCTTTGTCATCCCTGTATCCCCATAAAGCCTACTAAAAGTAAATTATATTTGCACTTATTTTAATTGTATTTGATGTATCATTATGTAAATATAAATGACCTTTATGTTGAAAAGTAGTCCATGCTATAGTGAAATATTTTCTTTTTTTTATTACAGATGATCATAGTAGGGTTAAGCTTGCACAACTTGCTGAGAAAGATGGCAAACTGACTGATTACATCAATGCCAATTATGTTGATGTAAGCATGCTTCCACTGACACATTTATGAAATTATATTAGACTATGAATTTATTATACCACTGTGCTGTACTTATATAGTGCTTAATACATGTTATATGATAGATAATAAAAAGTACAAATCAGCAGTAGGACATCCCATGGCTAAAGGATTTCATATTGAAAAACACTCAAGTCCTTGTACTTGGTTTCTCTCCTGGGTGAGAGAGGTGGTTCAGGTTGAAAATGAATGTTCAAGGTAGAATGTTTATATACATTTGGATAGGTTTATAACTCTTTAAATGTGAAGGACAGGACTCCTGCTTATTTTGAATGTCCCACAGTTCCCAGCCCAATATTGTATGGATAGCACATGATCAATAAATCCTGACGGAGAGATTCCCAAGGCAGTCCTGTGGCTAAAAGGCAAACACATGATTACTAAACCAGTTATTGGCCTTATAATCTTGGCACTTCTCAGGATACCCAGCCATGTGGGACTGTTAGAGATCTCCAGGGACCACAGACCACTGACTAATTGACTGGTTTTTCACTGTGGTCAGTTGAATGTCAGTGGAGCTCAGTTCTTTTCCTGACACTGACCTTGCAGTCTAGCTGCGTTCAGGTTTAGGCCGTGTGGAACAGTTAAATCGGAGAAGTGAGCACCACATATAAAGATACAGTGAATTTGGTATAGGCAGCCACTTCATGCTTCCAGAGGAGGCAAAGTGTATGTCACATCCAACATAGGCTTTTTTCACGGGCTTTGGAGTTAGAACTGGTTTTGAATCCCAGCTCTGTCCCTGTGTGGCCAGGAAAGCTTGGAAGGCCACTTAACTCCCCTGAGCTTCTCCCCATCTCCAGATCAAGGATGATGCTTCCATTTTGCAAGGATTCGGGCAAATGTTCACAAAGCATCCTGGGTAAGAGTGGGTGCTCAGGGAAGGAGAGCTAGTAGTGATTAACACTGCTCCGTATCACCAAGGAGAGGGGATTTCCCAACTGCTGTAGACAGCTGAGCCCCAGTGCCTCAAAGACATTTCAGAGCAGCACAATTAAAGACCAGCAGAGTAAATAGACTTAGATTAAATGTACTTGGACTAAGGGTGCAGGAAATAGTGTCTGTACCAAAGCAAAGAGAACTTTTTTTTTTTTTTTTTACAAAGATCATAGTTAAAGAATTGCTGTCTTTGCTAGTACTATCAAGTTTCTCCACCATTGCAGGATTATTTTTTATGGTTTTTCTTTTACAGAAAAAAATGCACTGACCTTAAAAACTTACATATTGAACAGTAAAAATGGCATAGAATCAGTAATGTAGAAAAAAATATTTGTCATTTGTTTCTTTAGGGCTACAACAGACCAAAAGCTTACATTGCTGCCCAAGGCCCACTGAAATCCACAGCCGAAGATTTCTGGAGAATGATATGGGAGCATAACGTAGAAGTTATCGTCATGATAACAAACCTCGTGGAGAAAGGAAGGGTATGTAGGTAATCCATTATCTCATCCCCCAACTAGTAATCAGAAGTGCTTTAAGTTGCTTTTAATAGAGTCAACATTAGGGAGCAGCAGAAGTTAAGAAGATTAATCAGGATTCCTTTCTAGTAAGTATGACAGCTAAAAGGAAACTTAACATTGTAGGTCAGAGTTTCACTATAAATCAAGCTATCTGCTATTTATTTTTTTAAATATTTATTTATTCTTAGAGAGAAAAAGAGAGAGAGTGCGCAGGGGGAGGGTCAAAGGGAGAGGGGGAGAGAGAGGGAATCCTCAAGCAGACTCCCCACTGACCGTGGACCCAGATGCAGGGCCTGATCCCAGGACCCTGCCATCATGACCTGAGCCAAAATCCAGAGTCGAACAATTAACTGACTGAGCCACCCAGGCCTCCCCAAGCTGTCTGCTATTTAAATGCATTCTTCATACAGTGAGAAAAAGCAATGAGCCCCTTTGCAATGGGGCTCATTGCAAAGCAGTGCAGAGTGAAATAGATTTTAATTCACCGGAGCTGGATTCTAGTCCTGCTTTGTAGTGACTCGGTACATCTGGCCTCCCTTTCCTCATCTGAAAGGGGAAGTTTGGACCAGATCCTTTCAAGTCTTTCAGCTCTGTAATTCTATCCCTGGTCTCCTCTAAAAACTACTCACAATCACATAGAAAGAAAGAAAATGTTTGGAAGAATGAGGGAGTTCATTCCTGCCCCGGTGTTAGACCTCTGCTGATTTCAGGGAGAACTCTTATATCGAGCCTTTGAAATATGGAAATAGCATCTTTACTTTCTCTTTTGCAGAGAAAATGTGACCAGTACTGGCCTGCTGATGGTAGTGAAGAGTACGGGAACTTCCTGGTCACTCAGAAGAGTGTTCAAATGCTTGCCTATTATACTGTGAGGAGTTTTACTTTAAGAAACACAAAGATGAAAAAGGTGAGCTCACAAAGGAAGGACATCATCAATTGAGTAATACATCTGGTCTTTTTTTAAGTGAGTGGGTGATACAACCAAAGCAGGCTGAAAAGATACAGAATTAAAGGCATTGAGAGTTCTTACGACAACCATGCCTCATTCCCAAACGCTTCTGCTAAGTCTCTGACTGTCAGCGCTGGCTTAGGAGCCAGATTGGTCTTGGTGCCATCCACATGGTGGATGTGATGCTCAAATGAAAGTTCCTGCCCCATGTGATAACTGAGCATCCAACTAAAAATAGTGGAGATTGAAATAAGGAAGGAAAAAAAACCAATGATGTATAAATCAGGGCTCTCCAGAGAAACATTGTGTGTGTGATTGAGATTGAGAGAGAGAGGGAGATTTTTTTTTTATTTTATTTATTTATTTTATTTGAGAGGGAGAGAGAGTGTGTGTGTGAGTGGCAGGAGCGGAAGAGGGAGAAAATCCCAAGCAGACTCTGCTGAGCGTGGAGCTGGGCTCGACCTGGGGCTCGATCCCATGACCCTCAGATCATGACCTGAGCCAAAACCAAGAGTTGGACACTCAACTGACTGAGCCACCCAGTACCCCGAGAGAGAGAGATTTTTAAGGAATTGACTTCATGCCAGAAATACAGGCAAGGTTTTTATGTTTTAATCACAAGGAGAATTCCTTCTTCTTCAAGAAACCTCAGTCTTTATTCTTAAGGGCTTCAGTTAATTGGATAAGGTTTACCCACATCACAGAGTATGATCTGCTTTACTTGAAATCTATTAATTTAAGTGTTAATCACACTAAAAAATACCTTGACAAGGACGGGCACATGGCTGGCTCAGTCAGTAGAGTATGCGACTCTTGATCTCAAGGGTTGTGAGTTTGAACCCCACGTTGGGTGTAGACATGTTTGTGTAAAGACTTTCACATTAATTGGAAAAAATAAAAAATAAAAATAAAATCCTAATTGGGTATTAAAGAGGGCACGTACTGAATGGGGCACTGGGTGTTATACACAAACAATGAATCATGGAACACTACATCAAAAGGTAAGTAAACAATAAATAAATAAGTAACAAAAAAAACAAAAAACAAAAATTAAATCTTAAAAAAAAAAAATCTTGGGGCGCCTGGGTAGCTCAGTTGGTTAAGC